GATCAAGAGCGGTTGTTACGTCGGGCACGTTGCTGACAAATTTTGTTAGACGAAACCCACCTAGTTTAAGCAACGAGATTAAATCCCTACCTAATTTCAAGGCGTCATCGCTGTTTTGAAAAGAATCCAGATAATCATCCATATAAAATTTCTGGACAACAGCCGAAGCAGCTTCGGGGTACTCAAATTGATTATCCGATGCAGTCTTCTGCAAAGCAAAATTCGCACAAGTCGGCGAGTCACGAGCACCAAAAATATGACGCGTATATTGGTGAACTACCACACTTGATGTGGGGTCCTCCCGCCACAAAAAACGAAGAGAAGGTTGATCTTCTTCACGGACTCCAACCTGTAAAAACATCCCTTCAATGTCAGCTGAAACGGCGTATTTATGCTGACGGAATCTTAAAAGTACAAAAATGAGGTTTTGAAGGAGATCCGGGACAACCAACAGAGATTTGTTAAAGGAAGCGCCATGACACTTCGATGCCCCATTGAGGACTCGGCGCACCTTACCGGGTTTATTCGGGTTCAACACCGGGTGATGCGGGAGATACCACTCATGATCGGCTCGTGATTTGGGATCGTGTGCCTTAACGGTTATGACGTATCCGTTTTGTATATCTTCTCTTATTGTTTCGGCGTATTTTTCACGGAGCGACGGATCCTTATCTAGCCTCTTTTCCAAAGACTTTAATTGAGCTAAGGAGGAAAAATAGTTATTCGGTAAACTACTTTCCTTATCGTTCCAAAGCATTGGTACAATGTACCTCTCACCATCGTGAAAGGTGTCATTTTTCAAAACGGACAAAGCGCGTTTGTCGGCGGCGGAACGGGCATCTACCTGCTTGAAGGCTCCATATGACTCCAACTCATACCATGTTTTAATTTGGTCCGCAAGAGACATGTCTTCGACAACACACTTAAAGCAAGACGAGTTCGACTTAAAGGACGGCGGTAACGGACCACTTAAAACCCAACCTATCGGAAGGCGTACGGCGCACGGTGAAATAGAGTCCTCCCCCAGAAGGTACTGAACGGGTCTTATGGCATAGTAGAAATCCTGTCCAATAATTATTAATTCGATGTCCTCATACTTATAATGTATAGGTTTGATCGGAGCTAACTGCGGGTATTTTTCCTGTAATTCAGGAATACTTATGCTATCCGATCCAATGCGAATATGATCCTTAACATAAGCTCGAAAAGAAAACGAAAATTCACTTTTATTCGTTTCGGCGGAAACTTGAAAACTTACTTGATGAGTTTTCATTACGCTCGTGGAATTGAGTCCATTTATGGTGAGGTTAACGGGAGTGCCAACCAAATGGAGGCGTTTTACGAGATCGGCGGATACCCATGAGTGCGTGGAAGCACTATCGCAAAGAGCTAGGGCATTAGTAATCGTCGCATCCGAAGAGACGGCGAGTGATGCAACTGGCAGGAGGCCTTTAGTTGACTCCTGGCTATGAATATCGCCGACGGCAGCGTTAGTCGATACATGTTTAGTGTTTGCGTTACCTGACGCCGGGGAACTTTTAGTATCCTTAGGAGGAAAAATTTTCTCCGCTCCATGTAAGAGCACGTTGTGTGTGCTTTCACAATCTGGCTTGGGGCATTTTCTGGCCTTGCTACAATTACGAAAACTGTGATTGCTCTGTAAACACGCAAAGCAAAGTTTTTGTTCGGCTACATGTTTCGCTCGTTGCGTAGCGTTTTTCTCTTTGAATACGGCGCAATTCCAAAGAGCGTGTTGACCTTTACATACAGAACATGGAGGGAACTTTGGTTTTTCCTTAGTCTTATCACTCACTTTTGCATTACTAGCAAACACTTTCGTACCTACTTTTTGCTTTACTGGTTCTTCAGACTTAACCTTAGAATTAATGGTTTTTAGCCTCTCATGACCCTCCGCTTTTTCTTTAAGCCATTCGTTGAAATCTAGCAGAGTTGGTCGATGCCACTGGCGTCTTACGGTTTGCATTGACTATGCTTCCTTAAGGTTTGGCGGGAGCTTACTCACAGCCTGATTCAGTAAGTTAACACTTTTCAGGTCATCGTTAAAAGATAGAGACTTGAATACGGCAACAAGTCCAGAAATTGTAGAGGAAAAGCCGATTACATTTTCCGAGTTATGCATTTTCAGCGGCGGAAAATTACTCAATTTATCTAGATGAGCCCCTACTACAGCATGCGGCTGCCCGAATTTTCTTTGAAGAGTTTCTAATGCGTCTTTATATAGTACTCCGCTATAGCTATACTCAGCGATTGCGGGTTTTGCTTTACCCACTACGAGCGTTTTCAGATAAGTAAGCTTTTCATCGTCACTGAGTATGGCTGAATCGACCGTCGATATGAACTGCCCAAACCACTCATGCCAATTAAGCGGGTTGCCATCGAACTGGGTCAGCTTCCACTCAGGGAGATGATCTTTTCGGCTGTGCATGAGTATATTAACCAACTCTCGTGTCGAAAGTGGACGCTCGACGTCTGCACCAGGTGAATTACCGGGAGTTGGCTCTGTGTAACTCGAAGAGTTACCGTGACAATCAGGAACGAACGGTTGATTAGCATGTGAAGAAATTTCAGGTTGTGCAAAGAACAGAGTCCCTCCACTTGTATGAGGAACAAAATTATTCGTAGGAACAATCGGAGTTACTGCGGAAAAAACAGTTGTCGAAGGAACGTAGTGTTGTTGAGCTGACATTAAAGGGGCAGCAACAGCTGGTCTCCACAAATTACTATAAGGATTATAGTGGTCGCTTGAAAAGTTGTACCTACCAACGGGAACACCCATATGTTGTTGTGATGGGATTACTGGTGCTTGGTAGCCAGCTACTACTGATCCTGTAGTTTGATGACTCAAAGAAACCTGATTAATTGCTGTTGATGCAGGAACAAACGGTGCTACACCAGAAGGAACTTCTGCAGATGTTGGTGGAGCAAAATAGTTTTCAGAAGTTACCGGGACTACTGAACCTGTGTTTGGATTGCCGGATGAGTGGACGGAAAAGTTGGATTGCCGGATGTTTGGAGCACCGGATGAGTGGACAGAAAAGTTTGCTGAGGCAAATTATTAGAAACAGGTTGAATGACCTGCTGTAACCCTACTGGATTGTTAACGGAAACCTGCGATCGGACCAAATTCGACAAATTATGTTGTTGTCCGTGAATGTGGTTACTGTAATACAATCCCGGATCACTAGAAGCTGCCTGGCCATTATTCACTCCTGTAAAACTTGATGAGACCAAGTAATTTGTTGATGCAGGATAAGTTGCCTCAGGAGCTATCGAACGAACGTGCTGCTCTTGATTGGGAACTACAACAGCATCAGGCTGATTGTGGTCGACAGATTCGACCCAGTGACGCGTACGATCCTTTTCGTCTATTGTTAGTTGTGGAGAGATTCGAGTTAAACCACTTTCCTCAGCATTCTCGCTGATTTCCGACAACTCATCTTCTAACTCAAGCCCTTTCAACTCAATTTCTGCCAGTTTTTTCCTGTGTTCTTCAGCCAATTTTTCCAACTCTAAACTGCTTTGTTGTTCTAAAACATATTGTTTCATCTTGTTTTGCTGCTCTTTCAGTCTTAATGATACCTTTGCCTGCCTCTCAAGTTCCTCTTGTTGTTTCTTTAAAATCATTAAGTCGCGCTTTTTCTCAGAAAGTGTTTTCGACGGAGCGGCGGTATAACGACTAGATTTCTGAGAACCCGATTGATGATGTCGGCTGCTTCGGTGTGACACCTTAGAGCGGTTATCTGTTTTATGCGACTGGGGTTTTTCACGTGTTCCAGCGTTTCCCATTTGTAAAAATTTGCCGAAATCTATTCTACATTCTCCTGACAAATGTCGATCTGGGCTAGTGCTTCGGAAATCTCTTGTTTCCAATTTTTTTTTGTCCGAATAGTGTTTCAGCTCACGGCAAGCTCGGTCGCTGAACGAGCGTGAAGTTCGAAGGAAACTCACTCTCTGGAATAGTCTCTGGAAGTTTGTTGTCTTCGAATGAAACCGAATCGCTCGTGCCCTTTGTGGGACGCAAAAATGTGCGCGTAAATCTCCACGATTATATAAAAAACGGTTTTTAAACACTTTAATTAATGAGTATTTTCTCGGCAAAATAACTCCGGAAGTTTGAAAATATAACGATAATTTATATTTTTTAACAAGCTTTATCATCGGTAACATCGGCCACAATAAACTGCATAACTCAAAGCAAGCTGCAAAAATGGCCAGTATTTGTCCTTGAGACAAATTGCTCTTTTTAAAGGTCAGCCTTAATCAAGGCTGAACCTAATTAGAGCGAAAAGACGGTTAAAATAGGTTTTGGGGGGATCGAACCTGGTTACGGAGCATCCCATCAAGTTCGGTGCATATTCGAGTTATAGAAAGGAAATGACCTAGTCGGGATTCGAACCGGCGCCGAACCCACCGGGACGCACCCTGTATACGCTTGGCTACTGTCCCTATATGCATTCACATTTTGGTTCAACTTTATATGCATTTATACTCTCGCACATTTACATTTGCGCTGCAACAGGCAGAAAACCTCTTTTTAGATTATTTTGTTGCAAAAATCTGCCTGCTAGTTAGATGTCTTAGAAACAAATATTTCAACAAAAAAATTTCAATGCACTTCTATCATGCATCTGCGAAACCTAAAAACACCAATGGTCTCTTAGTTAACGGATGCTATTTTAAATAGAATATGTAACAACTATTTCCGGCACGAGGAATTGTACTTGGCACACGGAAAGTTTCTGGCACAAGGAAAGTAGTTTTTATTATTATTATGATTAAGTTTGCTCTCTAACAAAATTAATCGGGGCTTTATTTTAGAAAAAAAAACTATTTAATTCCCAATGATTTGAAAAAAATGCCTGATTATTTAGTTTTTCAAAGGCTTATTCGCATTTGATTAGTTAAATGGCCCCTAATTTCATGCGATGTATTATGTAATAAACCATGGGCTCTCTATATAAATTCAATTATTGTTTTAGAACACTTCGTTTCTTGGTTGTTTCTCCGGAGACATAGCCCAAATTGGCCATAACTCAGAACCACTTTGGGGTTCATCAAATGAGTCGAATCTTAACGCAAAGAGCTGCTCAGATTCCTGCAAAACATTTCAGTCATCACTTTTTGCTAATAGACAACCAAATTCTTCTTGCTACTGCGGTATTTCACTGGTCGAAAGTATCAAAAACGTGCACAAAGCCGATTCTCACCTGAAGTGCGATATTGCTGCTTTTAAAACGGAGAAGAGTTTTGATATTTGCAGACAGCAAGCTGTGTTTCTTGATCCGAAAACCAGTAAAGTGCCCCGTGTGGCTCTGGTTTCGGTTGCTGGATCAGGAAACACCTGGACGCGATATTTGGCGGAAAGTGTGACTGGAATTCTGACTGGCAGTTTATACAATGACATTAACTTGTTCCGCGGAGGCTTGAGGGGTGAAATAGAAAAGAACTGGAACAAAACAACCTTCATCAAATCGCACATATTAGGTATATTGAAACCTGTAGAAAAGTAAACGCATATTTTGTGAGTTTGGTGAGAAATTAGCGAGCACTTTTATATGCACTAAGTTCTCAAAGTTTGCACGGTTTTGCGGAATTGCGGAGCTGTTTTTTGTTGAGAGTTGTCGCATAACTGTGGTTCAGCAGAGAAAAATAACGGCGGTTTTCTATAACAAGCCTAACTGGTCGTATGTTGGAACCTTCCATCGCATCGTAGATGAAAATTTTTAATTTATTTTCCGTATTGACAAAAAAAAGTATAAGCAAATCAGCTAAATCTAAAAACATGAGCATTGAATTGAAGCATTGAAACCAAGATTTAACTAAAAATCATCAGTACAAAGTTAAATTTTTATGTGAAATTTTTAAAAATTTACTCATGGTTTTTGATTCGAAAAAAATTTGGGGCAACAAATTGAGACACCAGCAAATTACTTGAATCTAGGGCATGAGTAAACTTTAAGGAAGCAGTGAGACTGTGAAATTTTTTATAGTTTTATGAAATACAGTTTTTTTTCGCTTTCGAGAAACCCTTAAAAAACGTTTTTTTTTTCAGATGCTCCATTTTTTCCTTATATGGACAAATTTGTCTTCCTAATACGAAACCCAATAAGGAGCGCTCTCGCAGAGTTCCAACGACAACTGGCGGGAGGACATACGAGCGGCATGAGTGTGCATGAGTTCAGAAACAATAGTAAACGGTTTTTCCAAATATTCAAAAGTCATATTACATCTAGTCTCCCCCGCTTGGCACAATTCCAACCCAAACAATCGCAGCCTGTACTCACAATTTCTTATGAAGATATGACTGACAACTTGCTACCACAGCTTCTCAGAATAGCCCACTTCTTGGAAATGGATTCAGATACAATCATTTTGGACCGGGCTGTGTGCACTGAGTTGAACCAGGCTCGGATCAAAGCGAAAAGTAAAAGGGTTCAAAAAGAAGACTTGTCGCCATTAGCACTGAAAGTAATTGCTAAAAATAAAACTTTTGAACAGTTGGAAAAAATTAATAATTTTTTTATTGATAGAAAAACTCACCATATGCGATTGAAAGACTACCAAGCGTCATTCGATAACTCCTAAAACTCTTGCTGCATTCTGTGCCGTATATTATTAATATACTGAGAAATAAAAATAACAATAGCTGAGTATTAAAATGAGTATAATTAACTCTGATGGCTGCCTAATATGATTTTGCCATACACTACCCAGGCCCAGAAATCTTTGCGATCTTTGTCAAATCTTGAAGAATTAAAAAAAAAACATTGAACAAAAATCTTTGAAAACTTGGCAAGATCGTGTCAAGAATCTTGATGACCGGCAAAGATCGTTAAGAAAAATCCAAGAATCTTGAAGACAAAAAAAACAAAGATAGCAAATAATGTTTAAGATTTTACTGAGATTGTTTGCAGTTTTATCGAATTTGGGCGTTGTAAGCGCTTCAAAAACAATTTTGAAAGACGTAAAATTTAATGAACCTAAAAGTATGAGCTATAAAATGGAAGCTTTTTGACCATAAATTAATTAAAAGTCATCATACAAAATTCAATTTTGACTAGAAATTTTGCTAAGCTTACAGATGATTTTCAGATCGAAAGCAATTTAAGGCAATAAATTGAAGTATAAGCAAATCAGCTAAATCTAAAAACATGAGCATTGAATTGAAGCATTGAAACCAAGATTTAACTAAAAATCATCAGTACAAAGTTGAATTTTTATGTGAAATTTTTAAAAATTTACTCATGGTTTTTGATTCGAAAAAAAATTTGGGGCAACAAATTGAGACACCAGCAAATTACTTGAATCTAGGGCATGAGTAAACTTTAAGGAAGCAGTGAGACTATAAAATAAATAAAAACCATCAGTAAAAAATTCTATTTTTGTTCGAAATTTTGCAAAATTTTTGGATGATTTTTAATTTCAAATAATTTTAAGCAAAAAATTGAAGCATTAGCAAAGAAAACAATTAATCAAAACATGTATGGATCAAAAATGGAGATAAAGTTTCAAATTTTTTTTATGTACACCAGATTCAAAGCAATTTTAGGCATTCAACTGTAATATAATGCTAGTCATTCGATGATGTATTTCATGAAACGCTTCAATTTTTGGCCACCAGCGATATTGGAACAATTGCCCAAAATTGCATTCAAACGGATAGTCAAGAAACTTCGAAACTTGCGAAAGTTTTTCTCGGAAAAAACATTCTATCTTCTTTCTCTCTTACACTTTCCGGCATGAAATCATATTGCAGTTTCAAATGTAGAAACAGATTATTATTTTAAAATTTCTGCAAATATCCACAATATATCAAAAAAGACACTAAATAAATAATTTAGAATCCTCAAACACATTTTTCATTACAAATTATACACAGAGAGATACAAACTCTCTTTTCGACAGTAAAGCAAAGCGAAGCTTTGCATCGCTTGCGATTTTTGAAAGTAAATCAATGGAAAAAGACTAGGTCTAAAAATGAAAAAAAAAAAAAAAAAAAAAAAAAAAAAACTGTACTGGAAATCTCATCTACTGTCTAAAGTGTGAGCAAAAGAGTTTTCAAAGTCACAAGTAGTATAATTAAAAGTTACAGAAGTGAATTAAAAACCAAAAACAACTAGGAAAATGGCGTAAAACCAATAGCGGACTTAGGGGGGGGGGAGGGGGAGGGGAGGTAGACGCTCTTTCCTCTCCCCCCTCAGGGATTCGCCACCCTGCCAACCCAAAGGGTCCCCCTTTGTACTATTTTGAGATTTTCAGTTTTTGGCTGACTGAACTTAACATTTTTCTAATGGCACCTTCGGCGCCAATCTAAATTAATTCTGAAGGGGAGGGGCGTTTTTTTGGTCGAAATTTTCCAAAAAGTGCCTAAAAACGCCTTTTGGTCTTTTTCAAAAACTTGTTGGCGGCGCAGAAAATTTGGTCAAATTACGGTCTTTATAGTGGTTTTGGAGAGCTCAAAAAATCAGTTTGATCGACAAAATTTTCAAATTTTTTTTGAAAACCCGTCCCTCGAGAAATTCTTTGATTCGAACCTGCGTATAACAAAAAAACAATTCTGTGATCTAGCAACTAAGCCGATAAAAAATAAGCACAGAAATCAAATGATTTAAAAAAAAGTTTTCACCTGAAGGTTTCCTGTTTGAAAAACAAACAGGTCCAGGATTTTTGAAAGCTTACCTCCAGGACTTTTGAAAGCTTACCTAGAGTTCATACAACCAAATTTTCAATCATACTTTTAAACCGAAGCTTTGATTTCCTACTTTTTTGTAGTTCAAACTCTTTTTAAAAAAAACCGAAGCAAAGAAAACGGAAAAGTTTTGACAAAAAAAAACAAGTTAACAAAGATAATCGGTTACTGTGCAAGTAGCACAGAATGTTCCGACCAGTCTTAAAAAGTTTCAGTTTTTTCTTCATTTATTGTCGCTTTTGTGGCATGGTGTGACAAAAAAAATCTGACCAAAAAAAAAGAGCTTAGGCATTTTCGTCAGTGATTGTAAATTATGCAAAGTAGAAAACAATTTTTAATTTTTCAAATCTTTTTCTCCCAAATTTTTGAATCTTATGATAAAGCTTAAAAAATTTGAGTAAAAATTCATTTGAGTAAAACTTCAAATTTCATTTGAGTATAACTAAATTATCAAGGCTTAATTTAAGCACCAACAAGCCAATGTAAGCCTGCTCACTCGAAATTAGACGAAAAACCAAAAAAATTAAAACCAGATTTTCTCGGCACTGGGAAAAATTTCTGAAAATTTTTAATGTCGTTCGAATCACGACTGAAAAAGTTGTAATAAAATCACTTAACACAGTCCGATGGTATTTGTTGTAGCTGATTTTGCGTGGAAAAAAACTACATCTTACCCGAACACAAAGTTATTCCCCATTTTCGATGGTCGGAACAAAAACCACAAAATTTTGTCCGGAATGATGATTACTTTTGCGTACAGCACGTCCAAAAACACATTTGACAGCGCTTGCTGAAAACTTCAAGAAAAAGTTATCATTGTGAATTTTGAACAATAAATTCTAACGTGAGATACTTAGCATTTTGTGCAATCTTGGGGAAAGCATATGTTTCATGGTTCCCTCGAAAGACCCAAAATTGAAATCATCTAACCCGAATAACTTAAAGATTTGGTAAAAAGGCGGAGAAGGGTCAACTTAATGCACATCAAACGATCTTTCCGCTGTACCAGACCAGTCTGTTGATATGAGGCCACATTAAGTATTCAGAAAAAAAATGCATTCCAAATTGTCCATGGCGTGTTTCGTGAAGTTTGTTCATCGATGCTTTCTGACAGCAAATACGACAATCAAGTTTGTTGTCTGTAATAAAATCACGAAGGAGTTCCCGGTAAGTTTAGAGATTCTCTATACGTCATAGCCTAAGTAATGCGTTTTGTCTCTGAGTTTTCGACATTGAGAGGACATATATGCCTGAAAGATTTGGATGAATCATTTTGCTGTTCAAATTTGTACTTTCCACAATTTTTAAGTCCATAGAAATTGGTAAAACTCTAGAAGTGATAGATAACATGAAAAAAAATATATATATAGAAAAAGTTTTTTTTGACGGATCGTGGTTTAAAAAATCAGGGAATACAGTTTCGAGACAGAAACTCGGAAGGTATGAGTTCATAATTGCAATCAATCAAGACAGAGCTATTCATCTTTGAGAGACATTTAATTAGGGTTTTAATGTAAATTTACGTCATTGGAAGTTTCCGAAATCTGACCAAACAAGTTAATGCTAACTACAGCACTATAACTTAGATCCATTAAATTTGAGTTTAAATTCTACTTTTTTCCTTGTTGCGACTACCATTTCTTCATCAAATGGTGAACTTGAGATAAGTTTTTCTGTTGGAATTTTAGCACTTATGTCTGTACAATCCATATCTTTCCCGCGAGGTGTGAGGTGTTTCACTTCGAAACTGAACTATGGAAAACAGTCAAACAGCGTCTTAGGCATTTTATGTAGCTTTTATTTCCTCATTTGCATGAAAGGGCTAAGAAAAAGGCTTTGCCGTCCACTATTACTTCAAATTCTGACCCATAAAGGTAATTCCTATAATATTTGATGGACTATATTACTCCAAGGCGTTCAAGTTCGTTCGTCGAGTTTTTCGCTACAAAAACTGTTTTCTAATCACTTCTCTTGAGTTGTTGTATGAGAGCGTCTTATCGAATATACCAAACGTCTGTTATTAGTCTGCGATTTGAAATGAATCTCGGAATGAGTGTTCTCCGATAAGCTAATTATTTCTGGTTTGATTTTCTCAAAACCTTTAAAATGAGTTTCATTCCAAGAAGAACAAAAAGTTTTTTTTTCAAAGGTATGCAGAGGTTTCCCTTATAACCCTAGGTTGGTTTCAAGTTTTATAAATATGTACATAGATTCGACGAACGGTCTAAGTTCTTAAACATTTTGAGGAAGTGGTAGCTTTTTTTATAGCAAGGACCTTATATTACAAAAAATTAATTCCTGAGTCGGTCATTTTAACCCAGTCAGTCGAATTAACTGCGAATTTCTAAATTGGTCTAGAATAGATAGAACTTGTTTGACTATGTCTCTGTTTTCTGCGAGAGATCCTTTGGATCCGATTAAAATGTATTCAATTTAACATGTTGTAAGAAGGATTGATCTGGTTGATGAGAGTCCATGACAGTTACACTGTTGGTTTGCCGGGTTGTCTATGACTGATTGCATGAAAATTAGGTCTAAATTGGAGTTATTCACTTCTCCTTTGCTGCAAAATTCTAGCAATTCGTGGTTACTGGGCATTTGATAATTATTCATATAGATTTGATCGTTGATAATTTTTGACTCTGGTGCTAGTTTTGACAATTAGATCGATTTTGCCGATTTGCTCCACATCATTATAACTATTTTATTATGTGGTCTTCATCAACAATCAAATTTGTGCTATATTCATCGGCTATGAAACTTAACGATTCGCTTTTTATAGAAGGCAGTAATTGTAGCAGGATTTTCTTCTCTTTTTCAATTGTATGGCCCTTATTGCGCCAATTTAGTTATAATTTAGTCTTTTTTTCTCGGTAGTATCTACAGAAGGTGTTGAGCTACTCCTTGGGGAATGACCTAATTCGAACAATGAAATTGGCTTCAATCTCCGTTTGAC